TTATTTCAAGTAAGCATATGGGGAGGAAGAGGAGGCTAGGAGAATAATGTGGGAGAAATGAATCTCAAAATGAGAGCTATTTAAACTCAGCATACATTAGCATCAACCAAATTAAAATAACATTAAGCCAAATCAAACTTATAATAGATGGAAAGAACTAAATACAAGCTAGCAATCAGTTGTTTTAGTTCAATGGAAACTTTGGTCTTGAATATGTAACAGTACATGTGCCTGTGACTTCTGTATTTTTAGTGCAAAAAGGAAATCTCCCTCCCTTGAAAACAAACTCCCTTCTTTTGAACGAGGTGCATTTCCAGATTATTTCCATAATACAGAAAACCTTAGTTGCTGATTCAATTAGAGGAGAAACTGGAGAATCAAAGAAAATATTTTCAATTTATAACCCCGAGTCAAAACTAAGTGTGGGAATTCCCGGACACTCTTGTGAACAAGAGAAAGCAGGAAGAAGTAAAATGGCATTTTCTAGATTTCCACAGGACTTTTTGATGTAAAATGGTTGAATCAGAACTGCATAGGGAACCAGGAGCTGAAGTGAAGGTAGTGTCTTCCCAGAACCAGTTCCTGAAGGTGGGGGGGCGGGGGACTCATTGTTTCCACTCATCATTTACTGAATATTTCCTCAGTTTTTGTCTTCTGTAAAATGTCTACTTCCCAAAGTTGTGAGAATAACAGCCAATATTTACCAAGCACCTTCCTTGCTTAATGATTTACAACCCTGTGAACCCCATCATTGCTAACTTTGCAGATGAGATAACTAGACCACAATGGGACTTATTTAGGAAGACCAGGGGCTTTGGAATTTAGGCATTTTAACCCCCGAGACTTCTGAACAACTAACCTAGTGCCTCCACAAATGTGCTCCCTTCCTTCTCAACCAATTATATTCCTAGCTTCTCTTAAGGAAAAAAGGAAATGCCCTATTTTTAAAGCAACCTACCGTGTGCCTGGCATGGTAAATTAATGTCCTCATAACAGTTTAGAAAGTTGGTTTATATTTCAAATAAGAGTAAGCTTTCCGCAGTGAAAAATTTATTTTACATAGAAAATCATTCTCAAATGGCTTTCCTGACATAAATCTTCCTGAGTTTGAGCCCCATGAGCCAGGTTTTCCCAGGGCCTGACTCCCACTTTGGGGAAAAAGTGACTATCCAGGGTCCAAACCTACAGAATTGAGAATACTGAGCAACAGCAGCCTGAGGTTCTAGAATAAACCACCAACTAAACTTTTTATTTCCAACCTCCTGCAAAAGTAACGAAAAAAGGGAAGGCAGCAGAGACCTTGGCTGTGTGTCTTTCCCACTCAGCTCATTCTCCTTGATAAACCAAATCTCTGTTGCACATATCCCTGATATTGAAAATATCTGCAATTTAATAGTTTTATTAACGTCTATATATTGTATTTGAAATGTCCCAGGATATTGAAATCCTCGCCGGAACTTGACTATAAAATACTAATTAAGAAAAAACAAACAAAGAATCTCAGTGTATTTGCAAAGTACTTCACGTGCATTTTAAGCACATGACCCCAGAAATAACTGCCCAAAGGAAGCCATCAAGTTATTAAATCCAAAGCTTTTCATTTTCTTGACATGCTCTTTGTATTCACTTCAGAAGTTTACTGTTACTGATACTGTTTGCCTTTGGGTATCTGCAATTTGGTGAACCAAAACTTGGGAGAAATGTGATTGTTTAATAACAAAACAATGAAAAGCAGAAACTGGATTTCAATTTGTTCAGGTGTGGGGGCGTGGCCTCTGAGGATATTCTTTTCCGGTGATGATTACTTTTGGATTCTAACCCTTGCACGCCATCTGAATGCAGGCGTAATCAGCAAAGAAGCAACAGATAGGGTGGCTGCTTATTGGATGTCTAGACTGCAGGCAAACCCCAAATACCAAAGAAGCATCCATGTGTCAAACCAGCATAATTTTTGAGCTATGCCTGGGGTCACATACCAAAAAAAAAGGGAAAGAAAAAAGTTTGCTTGAAAAGAAAATCTAAGAGGGGTAACCAGAAGGTCAACCACAATTCCCAGGAACGGGGAAGAGGCCAGCAGGGACAGCACGGCTAGCCACAGTCATTCCCAGCAGCTTCCTCCCCAGCCCCCACACCAAATCTCCGAGGCCCAACTCCCTGTGCGCAGGCTTCTTCAAGGTCATCCCAAGATAACACAGCGAACAATCGCCAGACGTAGAGCCAAGCATACCTTTAGGGCCAAGAATTATCCCCCCTTCCCCAAATCATTATATAAATACTTCAGATGCCACCAGGCTTTCTCCAACTCCACCAGAAACGAACTCCCATACTTTAATTATTTAGACTGAGCAATTAATAAACGTGTTCGGTTTTGCAACATAAATTATTAAAAGGCTTTTCAAGTCTGGCGAACTCCAGCTCAAAAACAGGTGCTTACTGACAAGGTCAAATCCTTTTTTTTTTTTTTTTTAACTATTCAAAGAAAAAGGGGAGAAAAGTGTTATTAACCTTCTTTAGGACAAGATGAGGAGTTGGGGGAATAGGATCGCGGAGGTAAAACTGTCTCCCCACGGGGACCATGCTTGGCTAAGCAGTAATTCTTAGCTTAGCAATCGGACGTTAGAGGAAGAAAATAAAAACAAAGAAACCTAGGGTCACAGTTACCAGGGCAAACTCTGCAGCGCTCTACCACCCAAAGAAACCACCACCGCCATCCCAACCCAAACAAACCTCGCCCTCCCGCTCCCCCTCCCACCCGCACACACAAAAGAAAACAGCAGCGCGCACCCGGAGCCCCGAAACTTCCCCACGGTGGCTTTTTTGCGTGTCGTCGGGGCTGGGTCCCCTGAACGTGCGGGCCGAGGCTCAGCTGCTGGGAATGGGGGTGCTGGCCGCACTCGCCGGTTTCCCAGAAAGCAGCAAATTGCCTCCCATGGCAATCGGGTCCCCGCCCCCCCCCACGGCCCTCGTGTGTCCCCAACCTGCGCCCCTTTTTTTTTTTTTTGTGGCCGTG